GAATTAATTCAGTCATCAGATCTTAATACCAATTTTAAGAGAACAAATATAGAATTCTACATATGATAATGCACTGTACTCTACTAATATGAAATAATTACAAACATTGAAAAAATATACATGATTGCTACTACCTCTCTGATTAATCCCTAAGGACAAGCTTTCACAATACTGAAAAGGAGAGCAGCATTCAATGGTCCTGCCCAGCTGTAACACCTTGAGCCACAGCAATAAGCAGCCAGGCAAGATAGTCTTAAGACTATAGCAGTGGTGCTCCTACTCTGTCTGTAACTAACAGCTGTCTAATTTAAATCCCAGGCCCATTTGCCAGGAGGAAAATCATGTCTAGTGCTGGACATCTAGCGAAGTGCCTGGACTGCTCATGGATATTAAGAGGAGAACCTCATACCACTACTTTATTAACTCAGTATAATTTCTGGCTGCATTCTAAATACTTATCTTTAAGCCTACAGAGAAGTGTACCTTTTATCCCTCATCAAATGAGGTTCACAGTCTCAATGAATAAATTTACACCACATCCTTTATCTAAGGCTCAGGGAATATGAGGAAGAAATGGAAAATAGATTGTAAGTGCCAAAGGACTGTGGAATCTACTGTGATACTATGTATCCTTTAACTGACAGAGAAGCTTCACCCATGATTCCTCAACAATATGGCTGAGTAATAACAAAAAGAGAACATTAATATCAAAATAAAGTCAATGGAAATATTTCATACATTTATAATATTGCAAATCTGTGTTAATAATAGTGATTATAATGAATAAGATAATAAATAATAATAAATAAATAAGATAAGATATTGCCCATGAATATACCCTATAAATGTTTATAAATTGCAGTAAATATTAAAATGGTGTATCCTTTTAAAAGGCATCACTAAGCATTAAGTCATAAAAGCAAAAACTGTTTCATGTGTCTTGGTAATAACAGAGTTAGTAATAATGAATTCACATGGTCAGAGATAACACATTGAGCTCCAAAGCCAGAGAAGTGCTGTTGCAGATCAAGAGAGGCTGCCATCAGCATCAGAGTTATTGACCCTGGAGATTTCAGGCTACAGCTCAAGAAGCAGCTGGCTATTAATTGTGTGCCTGGAGCTGCTGCAGTTCTTGGGTACTGTTGCTTTCTAACCCAGCCTGCAGTGGAGTTTTCCAGTCTCTGGGAAGCTTCTGCAAGTCTCTTGCTTGCCCTCATTTCTGTCCTCAATTGACTCTGTAGAACAATTTCTTCTGCTTCTCTCTGCTTTCCAAGGCCTCTACAAATTCCTCATTAGGAAACTCTAAACTGGATCAATGAAGGATTGAGTTCTGAGAAACAGTCCCTGCTCCAACACTCTCTACCCAGATTAAGCACTTTGGAAATTACCATAATGCACATTACCGTTATCATCTGCATTTAGTTGATGGGATATTGCACTTACACAGCTAGTAAATAGAATCATTCAGTCATGACTGTGTCTGGACCTCCTATAGTATGCTGTTTATATCAACAGTGTTATCCTTATTAGTAATTATAAATTCAATTACAGACAAGTTTGCTAATGTGTGTTCTAGACTGTGAGTGCAAAGAGGGTCCAAAGTAAAGCAGTATTTGCTCTTTATCAATTCCCTAGGTCCTTCGTCTAAAATACCTACAAATATTTAAATTGTGGGCAGGATGATGTTACTACTTGCATTTTGCTTTTTATTAATAACTACACACTATAATTATCCTGCCAATCCACAAGCATGGGATATTTTTCCATCTTTTGAAATCTTCTTTGATTGTTTTCTTCAGAGACTTGAAGTTCTTGTCATACAGATGTTTCACTTGCTTGGTTAGATTCACACCAAGATATTTTATATTATTTGTGACTATTGTGAAGGATATCATTTCCCTAATTACTTTCTCAGCCTGTTTATCTTTTGAGTAGAGGAAGGCTACTGATTTGTTTGAGTTGATTTCATATCTAGCCACTTTGCTAAAGTTGTTTATCAGGTTTAGGAGTTCCCTGGTGGAAGTTTTGGGGTCACTTAAGTATACTACTATATCATCTGCAAATAGTGAAATTTTGACTTCTTCCTTTCCTATTTGTATCCCTTTGACTTCTTTTTGTTGTCTAATTGCTCTGGCTAGGACTTCCAGTACTATATTGAATAGGTAGGGGGAGAGTGGGCAGCCTTGCCTAGTCTCTTATTTTAGTGGGATTGCTTCAAGTTTCCCTCCATTTAGTTTGATGCTGGCTACTGGTTTACTGTATGGTTAGGTATGGGCCTTGAATTCCTGATCTTTCCAGACTTTTATCATGAAGGGATGTTGAATTTTGTCAAATGCTTTCTCAGCATCTAGTGAGATGGTCATGTGGTTGTTTATTTTGAGTTTGTTTATATAGTGGATTACATTGATGGATTATTTCACAGGGCCTTTCATACCAGGATTCTTACACTAATGGCAATGGTTATATATAGATCATTACCTGAAGATATTCAACCTAATAGTTGAGACTGGCTTAGTGTTCTCAAATACTTCCCCTTATGTTGAATGAACTTTGTGGACTAAACAGCAATCAATTCCCACTTTGCATTTGACATTCTACCTGAACAATTCTATTCTCACTTCCAAAATCCATTAGATCCTTGGTTGCATTTCTGTGTATCTACAACCTCGTGGTTGAAAAAAACTGGTCTTCAATCGCCAGGAACTCCTTTGAAATGATTTAAGTATTCCTGTATAGAAAAGGAATTTCTACAAGTTCAAAGTCCTCAAGATTATTTAAATGCAAAATGTCTGGACACATACCCTGGGAAGCAAAGTAACCTTTCTTGTGTTTGGAATCACCTGAGGATAGACCTTTGACCAAGCAACATACTATACCAAAACCATTAACTGTTTTTATTGCTTATGGTTGAATTCTCCTGCTCCTTTAACCTTATATATTTATTAGTGGGTTAAAAGTGTATCCCTGAGATTACTAGATCAATAATACTTTTAAAATAGAGACTACTTGACTGGTCTCCTCTAGAGAATCAGGAATGCTTCAGTTTCTTTTCAAAGAATAAAAATATATACATTTTCTATTTGACTCAAAAGATAGAATTTTAGAAACAAAACCATATGCAATCTCACAGGGTCATAACAGAAAGTTATTGTGGACCTGGGCCATTTTGTCTGACCTAATTTTGCTGTGTCTTAGTGCCCAGTATTTCTGTGACAAGATAAACATTGTTGGTCTTTTCATTCTCCTTTCTCTCCATTGTCTAGTGGTCTTTGTAATGAACAAAAGGTTCAAGCAGAACACTGCACATCTCTTTTCTAAGTGCCAAATTTGAAATGTGAGTTGTGTTTCACTGATGTGCAATTGGAATTTAATTGATCCCAGCACTGTGTTATGAATGCCAATAGAGGAATATCCTCTCTTTAGTTATAGTAATAATAAAGCCTTTTCAATGATGGTGTATTAGTTTGGGTTTTATTGAAGCGAACAGACACCATCACCAAGGCAACTCTTATACGGACAATATTTAATTGGAGCTGGCTTACAGATTCAAAGGTTCAGTCCATTATTATCAAGGTGGGAGCATGACAGTGTCCAGGAAGGCAAGATACAGTAAGAGCTAAGAGTTGTACATCTTCATGTGAAGGCTTCTAGGAGAAGACTGGCTCCCACATGGTTAGGAGGAAGGGCTCATTCCCCATTGCCACAATGACACACCTCCTAATAGTGCTACTCCTTTAGGCCAAGCATAGTCAAAGCACCACAGATGGTAATGCCCACTCGTTTTCCTCATCTTTCTGCATATAAAAAGTATTTCCTTGACAAATACTTTGTATCAGACTACATTCATGAAACAACCTGTCTTGATCTTTGAATTTCCAGCATTAGCTTTCACCTGCTCTGAATTATTCTAACTGTGCCCCTAACAGCAACATGAAATCTTTTCATCTATAAAATCTATATTGTCTCTACGTAGACACTACAGTCACCCCTTGCCCCATCCCAATTCTTTCCCAATTAGCCTCAAAGCTCATTACCCCTAAAGATGGGTTATAATTTCTTAGTTTCTGTCTTCCAAAAGTGACTAAGATTAAAATCTTTTCCTTCATTTAACTATGACTTTTGTTTGCCTTGGGTGGAGGGTTCTGACAGGATTTTGAGATATGACTGGTAGGAATGTTAAGAGAGGAATGTCAGTTCAAGAACTGAGCTAGGGGTCCTGAAACAGCATCCCCATCCTTGTGGTGAGGCAGTTGTTCATGTCTGGCTATCATAACTAACCACAGACTAGAGATTGTCTTTGTTCTTCCTGTCTGAATAAAAATAAAATGTAGATATAATTCCTAGGCAGATTTTGGAATAATTTAAGATATTATTAGAGCAAGTAAAAAGTAAAGAGACTGTTTTGTGGGTAGACACCAAGTCATTGAGGAAAGACAGAGAGGGAAAGGGAGAGGGAGAAAAAGAGGAGAACAAAGAGAGAGGAAGGGAGAGAAAGAAGGGAAGAGAAAAGGGGAGATTTTTGTAAAAATTAATCCTATACTGTTTATAGATTTTGTGAAGCTTATGTGACATTGTTATAGCTAAACAATTTCTTTAATTTCAGCATATTCTTTGGTAATTTCAAGGGAAATTATATATTAACATATTTTAAAAGGTATATTGTTTCTTTAATATTAAGCTTAGTTTCTAATGGGATTCTTTGAGAGAGTAATCTAAGATTTAAATTTTTAGATCATGGTTTAACAAAAATAATTTAGATAACATTTCTAGTATGACTTTGGCTAGTTTTTGCTGTGTTTTGCTTGTGGAACACAAATGGCTTGTTTATCTGTACTACTTTGTCCTCAGAGTGAGAATAGTTTCTTATACCTGCCTAGAAAGATTCTGGGAGAATTTTAATTAGTTGTTCTATGTGGACAGTTGTAGTGCCAAACAATGATGAATGCTCAGGTACTGTTTCTTCTTATTAGATGTAAATGGGTATCTTGTTTTGTCCTTAGGAATTAATGACCAAGTTAATAACTGAGACACCTGACCAACCAATCCCATTTCTCATTGATCACCTTCAATCTAAACAAGGAAACCAAGGACAACTGCAAAGAACTTTGTCAGGGTCAGCGGCTCTCTGGGCAGAAAGTGAGTCATCAGGTAATTGGGGAAAAAAAAAACCCTTTGAATATATATGCTAATTTGGGATACATCTAATACAGTGCTTCTCAACCTGTGATTTGATGCTCCTCAGGGGTCATTTAAGACTATTGGAAGACACAGATATCTACATTATAATTCATAAGAGTAATAAAAATACAATTACGAAGTAGCAACAAACATAATTTTGTGGATGGCGACCACCACGATATATTGTACTAACAAGTCTTAACATTAGGAAGGTTGAGAACCACTGATCTAGCAGAAAATTTTCACAAGTATTTTTAATTATAATATGATAAACATAAAATTTTCAGATATTCTGTGATTACAATTTCATGTTCAATTCTCATGTAAAATAGTCTTGATTTAAATACATTAAAATGTACTGTGCTTCTATGAATGAAAATTAGAGTGTTTTGTTTAATAGAAGTGATTCTGATTTGTAAGAAATTATTTCATTCTGAATAAATTCAAAGAAATCATTCCAAATGTGTGTTTCATTTTGTAAACAACTTGGTTTAAAAACATAGAACTTATTGCTATAGAAAAGTAATGAGACATATCTACAAAATTACTTTTGCTTTTCTCAAAACTATTCTGTATTTTTTTAAACCCTAGTATTATCTATCCTGTATAGTAAATTTAACTTTAGAAATAGTTGAACCCTGGACAACTCTGAACATTGGGAGGTTGGGGGAATTCTTCCAAGTCTACATAGTCTGCTTTCCACATTAAATGAGGAAAACAAGGTAAATGTGGCTTCAATCTTTCAGCACATTGTTCTTCAGCTTTGGGGATTGCTTTGAAATTCTAGTCCCTCCATGGTGTGGACAGATCTGTTTGTGTCAACTTAATACAACATAGAGGCATTTTAGAAGAGGGAATCTAAGTTGAGAAAATTCCCCTACAAAATTGGCTTGTGGGCAACCTGTGGTACATTTTTTTGATTGATGTGGAATGGTCAAGCTCACTATGGGCAGCACTACCCCAGAGTTAATGGCTCTGGGTTCTATAAGGAAACAGGATGAACAACATGAGTAGCAAGCCAGAAAATAGAATTGCATCATGGTTTCTGTTACAGTTCCTTCTTCTGGGTTCTTGATCTCAACTCCTGCCATTAGTAATTGAGTGCTACTGGAAGATTAAGATGAAACAGAGTCTTTCCATCCCAATTTTTTGCTGACCATTCTATGTTAACATTGCAACAGAAACCTTAAATAAGACCTGGCAATTGCATGGTTTCTTAGCTAGGGTTTCTACTGCTGTAAACAGACACCATGGTGAAGGTAACTCTTGTAAAGGACACTTAATTGAGACTGGCTTGTAGGTTTTGAGGTTCAGTTCATTATCATCATGGCAGGAAGCATGGCAGTGTCCAGGCAGGCATGTCACTGGAGGAGCTGAGAGTTTGACATGTTGTTCCAAAGGTTAAACAAGAGAAGACTGTCTTCCAGGAAACTAGGAGGAGGTTCTCAAATGCCATGTCCACAGTGACACACTTCTTCCAACAAGGCCACATTTACTCTGACAAGTCCATACCTCCTAATAGTGCCATGACCTAGGCCAAGCATATTCAAGCCATCACCCATGGGTAACCAATTCTTTGCCTAATTCCCACGGGTATTGGACTGACTAGTCTCTAAATGATTTCTTGGGATGCTACAATGTTACCTTCTCCTTTCACACTCAGGAATTTCAGGAAAGTAGTTTTTGCATTATTATAGTAATCGTTTCTTGATACTATTAAACATCTATACTAAGGAGGGTAGAAAGTGAATATCCTCTGAAGAGAGTGGACATTGATGGTGATGATGTCTACATAAAAGTTATACTCCGTAAATAAGAAACTACAACATGAATTTTACGCTACGAAGCAGAGAACTCTTGTGCTTTATCCCCTTTTGGCATCATGTCCATTGGTTTATATAAGTCAGTGGGTTTATTGCCAAATGTTTTGGTTTCAATATGCTAAGATGGTACCCACCTTGTGACAAAAGATCTGTCAAGTTCTAGAAGCTCGCAAGGCTATACCTTATAAATAGTTTCATTTATAGGAACAGTAGTACATAAAACTCTGAATGATTTATCAATGCACATTTAGCTTTCAATGTCTGTGTGCCAGAAGCCCATGCATGGCTTAGCCAACTTTATTCAGCTTCACTAGACAAGTCAAACTGTTGGCTAGGTTACATGCTCATCTGGATACTGAGCTACAGAAGAACATATTTCCAAGCCCATTTGTCTTGTTGGCAAACAAACTCTCACAGGACATGACTGAGTGTCTTATTTCCTTCTTGGCTTTTAGCTTGAATTTTTTCTTAGCTTCTAGATACAAGTAGAGTTCACTGCTACATGACTCTTACATTTTGGCAGATTACTGCTTCCAAGTCAAGAAATCCACTCAAATGGGGTTTCTACAACGTAATGATTACAATGTAATTGTGGCATTATCTCAGCACCTTTACTATATTGTGCTTGACAGAAAAGAATCAACAGTCCTTTTTTTATTCAAGAAAAGGAAATATTATAGGTCTTGGTTAATCATTACTATGTTACTCTTCCAGATTTCTTAGAATTCATATTCCGACAAGTATTTGTTGACTTTTCTTGGACAGGGTAGAAGAAGGGAGTAGATTATTATAGTTACTGGCTTACTAACTTAATGATATGAAACATGAAACAAAATTTCCAGTGAAAAGTAGAGGCTGAATTCCTATTGGTGAACTTTAACATTTGTGGACCATCTTTGTAAGCAATACTAGCAGGCATTTGAACATGATTCGGACTCTCGGGTCTGGGTCAAAGAAGCAGGCTCAGAAATGGGACTCGTCCAGTATCAAAGGAACAATCATTCAACCCATAGCAAGTAAAGAATAGAGAATGGTATGCTAAATTATGTCACAAAAGGGAAGTCATGGAAGATGATCACTGTCATATTATTCTGTGTGCTTTAAATTGTGTTGTTTATCAAGATGTAAGATTTCTTGTTGAAGAAAAGAGATGGAAATTAGATAGAAGAAGTAAGCGACCCATAGAGTCACTAAATTGAGTTGGAGTTACTAATTAGTCATGATTAAAACTTGTAGAAACCACTAGAGAGATGTTCTCCAGCAGAGCACAAAATTGAAAGGACTCACTGAGACAGGTAGATGTGCTACTAGTACCAGGGTAGAAGGTGGTACACAAATTCTGTACAAGATTTGGGAATATTGATGAACAAAATATGCACATAGCTAAATATAAATTCTTGCATAAAACATAGCACCTGTGTATGGGAACAGACTTCTCCATAGAACCCCAGTCTGATAATTAAAAACCTATGAGAGATTGATGTGGCTAAAATCAAGAGAAACAGGATTCTAGCTGTGCTGAAAGGTAGTGTGTAACTTTAGTTCATTTTTTTCTATTGCCTGTAGCTTTTGCTACCCAGCCTAGTGTTCCTGGTATGTTGTACTCTCATATCCACCCAGATCAAAGGATTTAAGAAACACACACACACACACACACACACACACACACACACACACACACACCATTTATTCTCAAAATACCTTGGCTAGTAATGATTGGACATACCTAATTCTAACTCCTGCTACCCCTTTGGCCATTTCCCAGAGTACTTTCTTGTCTGGTGGTTCCATCTCCCTCCAAGGATGGTGGCAAAACTTTTTCCTGCATCTCTTTCAGACCTTCTGGAACTTGGAGGTCTCGGCTCTTCCACCCAGCCAGTGGCCAACATCTTTATTAATGGATCAAGAACCAATTGGGGGCCTTCGGCATCAGTAGTAGCAGATTCCTGACTAAACCAAAATATCAGAATTGTACCCTTACATTTTTCAAAGCCTATTTTTAATGAGGATTGTATATTTATTGATAATAGAATTCTATTAATATTATTTAGAGTTAATTTTTTAAATTTTATTTGATTTTGTTTTACACTTCAGATTTTATTCCCCTCCTGGTCTACCCTCTGACTGTTCGACATCCCATACCTCCTCCCACCCTGCCTATCTCCACGAGGATGTCCTCACCCCCAATCCTACCACACCTCCCCACTCCCTGGGGCTCCAGTCTTGAGAGTTAGGTATATTTGCTCTGACTGGACCCTAATCTGGCAGTCCTCTGCTGTATACATGTTGGGGGCCTCATACCAGCTGGTGTATGCTACCTGGTTGGTGATCCAGTGTCTGAGAGATCTCAGGGGTCCAGGTTAATTGAGAATGCTGCTCCTCCTACAGGGTCACCTTCCTCCACAGCTTCTTCCAGCTTTTCCCTAATTTAACCACAAAGATCACCAGCTTCTGTCCATTGGTTGGGTGTAAATATCTGTATCTGACTCTTTCAACTGCTTGTTGGGTCTTTCAGATGACAGTCATGTTAGGCCTCTTTTTGTGAGCACTCCACAGCCTTAGCAATAGTCGTAGTCCTTGGGGCCTCCCCTTGAGCTGGATCCTACTTTGGGCCTGTCTCTGGACCTCTTTTTCCTCAGGCTCTTCTCCATTTTTGTCCCTGCAGTTTTTTCAGACAGGAACAATTATGGATCAGAGATTTTTTTTTCAATTTTTTTATTGGATGTTTTATTTACATTTCATATGTTGTCCCCTTACCCCATCCCCCGCCCACCCGGGAACCCCCTATTCCCTTACCCCTCCTCCTTCTTCTCTGTGGATGTAACCCCTACCTACACCCCCACTCCCACTTCCCCACCCTCAAAATTCCCACCCTGTGGGGCGTCCAGCCTTCATGAGGTCAAGGATCTCATCTTCCACCTATGCCCAGCAGAGCCCTCCACTCTTACATATTCAGCTGAAGCCCTGGATCCCTCCCTAAGTGCTCCCAGGCTGGTGGTTTAGACCCTGGGAGCTCTGGTCGGTTGGTATTGTTGCTCTCCTCATGGTGCCGCAAACCCTTTCAGCTCCTTCAGACTTCACTCTGACTCCTCCATTGAGAACCCCATTATCAGTTCAATGGCTAGTTGTAAGCATCTGCCTCTGAAT